TAAATACTTGTCTGTACTTAGTAACAATTTCCTACAAAAATGGGCTCAAAGAACAAGGATTTTATGTTATATCTTTTTACTGAATGAGGCAAGATTTTGTGATCAATTTTTATTCAAATGCCCAGTTTATATGACTTATGCTTTTCCACTCAGATAAAGTCTCACTTGCTGGTTAACCACTGCCAGAACGACAGGAAGAATTCTGTTACAAAGAAATGTTCCTACATTTCTGCTGTATCACAAATATTTGAATCTATTTGTAAAATTTGGCCAATTACACAATACTTTGTGTCTATGACCTTCAATCATTTAGACTGATGATTAAATGGCCCAGTGGCACTAATTATAAAAACTGAGTAAAGTTCTTGGTTTCCTGAGACACTCTCATGAGTTCTCCAGAATCTAAGATGTACATCTTTCAGAAACGATCCATGATCTCCTCAGAAAAGTTAGTGGGGAGCCGGGTGTAGTAGCACACGCCTTTAATCCCAGCACTCAGGAGGCAGAGGCAGGTGGATCTCTGTGAGTTTGGGCCAGCCTGATCTATGTAGTGAGTTCCAGGACATCCAGAGCTAAATAGTGTCTCAAAAACAAAACAAAACAACGACGACGACAAAAAGAAAAATGAAAAAAAAAGAAAGACTGGATATTCTACACACACACACCAAATATAAAAACACAAACGTGGTAACACACTTCTTTAATCCTAAAACCTGGGAGGCATAGGAGCACAGATAAGTAAGTTCAAGGCCAGCCTGATCTACACAGTGAGTTCCAGGACAGCCAGAGCTACAAAGTGAAACCCTGTCTCAGAGTGGGGAGGAAAAGAGGAGGAAACCTTAGTGACTTTCATAACACATGACAATTAGGAATTTAGAATTGGTTACACAGTATTTTCACAGTGAACTACTGAGAAAAGCAAAGGGATTTCTTCAATTGGGAAAACTCATGGTAACAACAATTGCTAGCAACCGGGAGGGAAAGGATTCTACCAGGCACTTCAAACTACCTCCTGCACTGTAACATTTCAGGACATAAACTCATAGAGTCTCATCTCAGTTTTCCATCAATTTCTGAGACACACTGTCACAGCTTCAGAGAGCTGGCTGATCCTCATTTTCAACAATGACATCAGATACCCCAAGGCCACTCATGTGATCAGGAGCAGGGGAAACAGCTACTTGAACCAGGATCAACAAGAAGAGAAGGTTCTTGGCACTCTCCAAGCAAGTGTAGTAGCTTTAGATACAAAATAAGAGATCACTTTTTCACAGTTGACGTCTGCCCAACTCAGCTCTACACACTACTCAGCATGATAGTCCAAGATGACCAACTTTCTGTCTTCTCTACTCCAGGGAGAAATGTCTTTGAGAAGTTGAGCCACATGCATGTAGGTAATAGCTTAACACCCTGGGGCTCTCCTTGGTTTGGGCTGTGCACACATCCCTATCTAACCTGGTCTGGGCTGTGTACACATCCCTATCTAACCTGGTCTGGGCTGTGCACACATCCTTATCTAACCTGGTCTGGGCTGTGCACACATCCTTATCTAACCTGTTTGTTTTCTATTGTTGTGATAAAGAACACAACCGGAAAGAACAACTAGGGAAGGAAAGGATTTACTTGTGTGTTCTGATCATGGAAGCCAAGACAGGAACTCAAAGTAGGGCAGGTAACTGGAGGTAGGAACTGAAGCATAGCCCATGGGAAAAAAAAAATACTGCTTACTGGCTGGCTTCTTGAGGCTTGCTCGGTCTGCTCTGTTATAAAACCCAGGAGACCTGTGCAGAGGTGGCCCCGCCCACAGTCAGCTGGGCCCTCTTACATCAATCATTCTTCAACATAATGAGACTTGCCTGCCAGCATTCCTTCAGTTAAGAAAGTTCCCGTTTCCCAGAAGCCCCTAACTTCTGTCAAGCTGACTAAAGAAAAACAAAAAATAAAACCTAACCAGTATACTATTCAAACAATGCAGCTAGCAACCTTAGACCACACCCCCCCCAACATCCATTAAGCTGTACATACACATGCTTCGAACAATGGGAATTAGTTACTTCCCTCAGAAACCCATGAGCAAAACCCTGTTTCTATTTAAATATGTCTTGGACACATCTAAGACCTATGGACTAACGCAGCCTGAATTAGTTTTCAGTGCATGTGCAATAATGCAACCCATATCTTTCAAGTGAACCTTTAGGAGAACCGCCATTTATGCCTACGGATAACTGGGCATATATATGATTAGAAGATACAGTGTAAGAGAAGACATGCAAAATGAGCTTACACAATGCAAGTCTATCATCAAAACAGAACCACCCATGCATGCTATGCTCCGTAGGAACCAAACTCTCCCTTTTCTTGATCTCTATATAAAAGGAGGGATATCCTTATATATTTCTATATAAAAGGAGTACACCTTTTATCCCAGCTCTCAGGAGACAGAGTCAGATAATTACCATGAGTTTGAGGCCAGCAGGGTCTTACATAAGCAAGTTTCAAGGCAGCCATGGTGGTTACACAGAGAAACTCTGTCTTGAGAAAATGAAGGATGGATGGATGGATGGATGGATGGATGACAGACAGAGAGACAGACAGACAAAATAACACTCCTAAGAATAATCAGAGTCCTTAGGTACTCTCATTCATGTTAGTCACTACCATTCTTCACTGTGTGTTTGTGAACTAGACTCGTTTTGTAATAAAGTTACTTGATTACTTTTGCAAATCTATGGGAGCATTTTTCTTTTAAATAATTTAAATAAGAGGCCAGGAACCTGCAAAAAAAAAAAAAAACCCTGTCCCCAGACATGACCAACATTAAGAAGGACACACTAAAGGCAAGCCCATAACTACTAGATCAACAACAGAAACAGTTATATGACGACAAAGGTTCCAACGTGTAGAGATGCAAACTGATGTGAAAGAAAACCTCTGAACTAAGAAGGGGGTTCACTGGCTGTTTCCCTAGGGTCACCGCACGGACCCTGATCCTATTGTGGTCCATGTGGGCCAGGCTCAAACCCAGGAGGGAAGATGAAATTGAAACTGAAAGTGTCATTTGGTTGGTACTAATTCTGGGGGGCATGAAAGATGCAAGACTGAGGAGTCTTGCACCATGGATCCAGAGAGCCACCACAAACGTGGCACAGCAAAGACGAAGCCCAAGTTGTAATGGAGATCTCAGGGTGATGGAGAGAGGGGCCAAAGTGATGAGATGTATACTAAAGAAAGCTGCAGACACAGAACAGAGTCAGCCAGTCCAGGAAAGATTTATGGATGCTACAGGCATCAACCTGAAGAGAAGTGCTACCTAAGCCTTTTGAAATTGAGATGATCCCATCCAAGGCATCTAGGTGTCAGATACAGAGCTGAAGTATTTAGTTCAGTTCTCCCACTGGACTTTGGTTTTGCTTTTGTAAAATCAGTCCTCAGTATATTTCAACTCTTCCTTTCTGGAAAAATCTCACAACTATTCCTATCCCTCTCTCCTTCCCTTCTTCCCTCTATCCATCTATCTATCTATCTATCTATCTATCTATCTATCTATCTATCTATCCAGTCATTTTTCATATATATGCATATATACATATGTATGTATATATGAGTTGTATACACACACATGTGTGTGTGTGTATATATGAGTTGTATACACACACGCGCGCGCGTGTGTGTGTGTGTGTGTGTGTATGTGTGTATGTGTATTCCTTTCTCCTGGAAAAGAAATGGTTATCATATACTAATACTGTATGCCTTTTAATTGGCATACATTATACATATATGTACACTCCATATTAAAATTTACAATTGTGTCATTAGGCATCTCAGTTTTCTTGATGCAACTTTTTAAAGCAACACACTGGGGCTGAGGACGCAGATCAGTTGTTACAGTGTTTGACAACCATTGCTGACAACCTGAGTGCCATCCCCGGCACTGCATAAAGCTGAGCTTTGTTGCTCAAGTCTGTAATCACACTTCAGAGGTAGAGGCAGCAATATCATAAGTTCAAGGTCACCTTCAGCTATATACTTAGTTCTAAGACAAGTTGGATGCATGATAACTTGTCTCTCTTTAAAAAGAAAAGAAAAGAAAGAAGGAAGCAAGGAAAGAAGGAAGGAAGGAAGGAAGGAAGGAAGGAAGGAAGGAAGGAAAAAAGTGGAGGAAACAGGTCTCAAATGCCTCAACTCATAAAATCAAATAAAAATAATAATAATAGTAACTAGCAAAATAAGACGAGTGACTTAAGTTTGACCCCCAGAAGCCACATAAAAGTGAGGGGAAAATCAACAGCACAGGATTGACCTCAGACCTCTGCAAGCATGCCATGGCCCAGGCGGCAACACCAAGTATCACACACACTTAATAGTAATAAAGTATTTTTCAATGTACTGAACACTCAAGCTAAAAAATGTTTTCACCAGAAAGAGTCTTTGTCTCAGGCTGACTATTTCAGACGGTCAGAAATTACTGTGTACAGAGAACAAATAGTTATAGGCAAAAGGAAAGAGCTGAAGATTAATTTTCTCCCAAGACCTGTATTCCAATTAAATTCTGATTGGCGAACTTTCATTCCCAATTCTTTCTGTTTGAAGAAGCCCACCATAGCAAAGCAAAATTACAGTTACATGAACTCCCCTTCCCCCAGGCTTTTTTTTTCCTCCCACAATCAACAAGGCTAGAAAAGCTTTTCACAATCTCACCTTTTGCCTTATAAATAATCAAGAAAAACAATTTTGACCTGTAGTATTATTAAAAGGAAACGGAGCGATCGAAATAGCGGTAGGAAAGAGAAGCAGAAGAGAAAACCCACCACACAGCAAGGAACCTGTGCCGAACATGCATAAAGCCTAGGGTTCAACTGGCAGTACAAAAAGAGAAAAACAAGGTGATCACAGAGAAAAACTAAAGCACAGCAAACAGAAATGCAAGGAGCAGACAGACGGGCAACAGCGCTCACCACCCACGATCATTCCCAGCATAGTTTGGATTCAGCATCACCAACCTGCCAGCGCTGCAGTTTCTGCAGAGGCTCAAGGTGGTACGGACTCCGCCTGGGAGAACAGGGATGAAGCGGCTTCCCAGGAAAGGGGCAGGATTGGAGTCTGGTCTCCTGGTCAAAGTAGTCGTAGCATCACAAACCCGCCACCCTCGAATCCAGACGCGCTCGGGACACTCACCATTCTCCGCTTGTGACGCATCCTGGTGTCCTCTCCTAGGAGACTGCAATCGGCGGAAGGGATAGCCGCCAAGGCAAAGCAACCACGACCCTCCCGCAGCTACACAGGCTCCAAGATGGCAGCAAGGGCGGAATCCTTCGATTATCTCGCCTCTTATTGGACAGTTCATGCGGGAGAATAACAGCGTCGTTCATTGGTGAATAAAATTCTCCCCGTCTCCGATGCACCGAACTAAAGGGAAAACGCTTTTTCTGCGTGCCAGTGCAGCCTGAGAGACAGTTGTCACTCGTGACTCATTTAGCTTGCTCTTCGCCAGTACAACCCTGGCACAACCTAGAGTTTCATAGCATTTAAGAAAACATTCTGTAGGCTTTTTAGTCCCTGCGCTCGTTGCCTTGTGTATTCAATGGACCTTTCCTACTCCGCCCACCCCTTCTCCAGCACCGAGGAAATAGTTCCCCGGCTTTGCACTGGAACTTCTAGACCTCAAGGAGAAAACCCAAGATATCATTTTCGAAGGAACCTTTATATCAATCTGGGCAAAGGAACAGAAAGGAGGACCTAATGTGCAGGCTAAAGATTTAGGGATGAGGTAAAGCTAATGCTTTCTCACACCTTGCGTTTCAATCTACCCATTTTCTGGGAAGAAAATTAAAGCATATCGACAAGGAATGCAATTATACAATTGGAGAAAAATGGAATTGCATGCAGAAGTGTTCAACAAGGGATTCAACAGGTATGAAAAGCAACTTTTCAACTTCAAACAAAAAGGTTTTCTTTTTGCCCAAGGTCTTGAGGAAATTCTACATTCAGAAGTGTAACATATTCCCAAGCTTCTAGATCACATTTTCTCCCTCCATCCCTCACACTCATTTTTACTTTTCAACTATAACTCTCCATGGCCTGAAAAACCCTTACTCCGTGGAACCAAATCTCTCCAGTTTCCCCTTTTGTCTACTTTGTCAGCCTTTATTCTCTCAGCTAATCTATTTCCCTACTACACTTAAACTTAGTAACTAATATTTACTATAAACCATATTATCCTTGTTCCAATACATATAGAATTTAAAGGCAGCAATTTTTGTGGTTGTTTGAAATAAGGTCTCACTATATAGCCCTGACTGGCCTGAACTATGTAGATCAAGCTGACATTGGACTCACAGAGATCTGCCTACTTCTGCATCCCAAGTGCTGGATTAAAAACATGTGCCACTAACTACATCTGGCTGCACCACTGTTTTCTAACATGACTTGCCTGGTGATCCTTTCCAGCAACTGTGGTTGTTTCGGCAGTTGGAGTGGTACTGAGTGTCATGACTCAAGGTCTCAGTACATGGTCTGTTTAGGTACTAACCTACAACCAGTACACTGATTAACAAATCCCAGCCTCTACTATAAACCAGTTCCCTTTGCAAACTGTAACTATTCAATTGAAAGAAGATGGCAGTTGGGGGGAGTGAGAATCCAACCAACAAGATAACCTGAAATATGGAAATCCCAAAGCACAAACATAAGGATCATGGTAGAATGAACCTCTTGGAAAATGTCAAATCCAAGGCACTGGATTCCAATGAGAGTGAATCAGATGAAATCAAAGTACTCCAAAAGACAATCAGTCATAAGAATGCCTAACCAAAGGGGGTAGGGGGAAACAATACCAAAACAAAACAGATACAAACCAATAAAATACTGGAAAAAAATAAAAGAATATAAGTATGTGTACCCCAATAAAACTGGGGATTTCTTTCAAGATAAGAAAGAGGGATTCAATAGTTGTATAAAAACTAAGAACATCAAATTAAAATCTTATGAATGAAGAGGCCATCAAGTCAAAAACTCAGTAAAAGGCCACAAGGACTAGCAAGAGACTCAATGAGTAAGGCCTGATGAACTGAGTTTGAACCCTAGGACCCATAGGGTAGCAGAACAGAACTGATTCCTCTGACTTCTACACATCCATAGTAGCACACTCACACCCACATATAAACACAAACAAACAAACATAGAGGCTGGAGAGATGGCACAGAGGTTAAGAGTACTGGCTGCTATTCCAGGGGTCCTAAGTTTAATCCCCAGCAACCACATGGTGGCTTACAACCATCTATAATGGAATCTGATGTCTTCTTGATGGCTCCATATGTAGACAGAGCACTCATATACATAAAACAAAGAAACAATTTTTTTTAAAAAAAGAAACAAAACTAAAGAAAGTTTTAAAACCTACAAAAATAATATAGATCAAATAGAAGATAGTATCAACTTTAGAAACAAACATGAATGAGAACACTTAGACATTGATGAAGAGAAAACAAAAATAGGATGAACAGAGCATGTAAGATCAATTCTCACCCAAAATAGATTACATTCATGAAGCCTGAGGATATAAGAAAACATCAAACCATGGCGAAAGTAACATACTCTGTAAAACTGGTGCAGGAAATTACCTAAAATAGAGATTGCTATTCTGACTCAGGAAATATTTAGGATACAAACTGAAAAGATGAGGGAGCACCTACATATACCATATTACATATAAAACATTAGCACGGAGAATAAAAAATAACAACAATGGGGAAAGTTCCATGAAAAAAACAAAGTTTTTAATACTAGAAATTTCTCAACAGAAACAATAAAAGTCAGATGTTCTCCATGATCTGATAGAAAGTAGCAGCTGGGAGGTGGTGATGCACACCTTTATCCCAGCACTTGGGAGGTAAAGGCAAGGTGAATCTGAGTTCGAGGTCAGTCTAGTCTACAAAGTGAATTCCAGGACAGCCAGGGCTACACAGAGAGACTCTGTCTCGGGGGGCGGGGAGAGTAGCTACTGGAGCAATGAGATGGCTCAACCGGTAAAGGCACTTGCTAGGCACTGATGGCCTGCATTCCATATCTAGAACCCACATAAAAGCAGGAGAAAACATGTTCTGGACACCACATATGTACCTTGACAAGCTTATCCATGCAGACACACATACTATAAATGAACACACATATACACACGGTAATTCTGAAATTTTTTTCAAAGAAACAATTGCAAAAAAATACTCATAAAAACCTATCTACAAAAATTGTAAAATACTTGAAAACGTAATTCAGCAACACATAAAAACCATCATTCACAATCAGGTTAGTGTTATCCCAGGAATTTATAGTCAATATACACAAATAAAATGCAGTATATCACATACATTTATATAAATATAGAAATAGCAAGATCACACCAACAACAGAGGTTTTTACTTTTTCCCATTCAAATATTTTATCAAAATCCAGCACCCATTAATAAAGTCCTGAAAAACGTAGAAATAGAAAGAACATCCCTCATAAAATAAAAGCAACATAGAACAATTAGCAAACATTATTGCAAATTTAAAAAGTCAAAGAAATTTCATTAAAGGAAAAGACAAGGGTGTACGTTTTCTCTAGTGTTAATTCAACAAAGTGTAAGATATCTTGTGTAGACCAATAATAAAAAGTAAATAAAGTGAATATAAGGAAAAGCCACTATATTCTGAATGCACACAATATCAGATAAGAAACCCTAAAGACTGCAATGGAAAAGTTAAAAGTGATTTAGTAAAACATTCAACAAAATCCTAGAATACAGACTCAAAAGCATGGCTTGGGGAAATGGCTCAGTGGGCAAAAGCACTTGCTGTGCAAAGCAGATATTGGAATTTCAAATTTTATTTAAGATGTTTGGTACATTTAGAATTAACTATTTTACACAGAGAGAGAAGTCCTAATTTTATTCATTCTAAATGTGAATATCCATTTTGGTAGCATCCAAGTTTTAGTAACTACTCTACCAAATGTATTATACATAGTATAATAAAGCTGCAAAGGACCTACAGAATTCAGAGAGACCTGCAGAAATGAGAATAAGACATTTCATGCTACTATCTGTTATTGCCTAGTTAGAATATTTTTATCCTTTAAGTGAAAACAGGAATCATTTGATTAGAGACAAGTGAAATGCAAATGAAACTTGATTGCTGAGTAAATCATCTATACACAATTTCATTAACCTTTATTTTGATTTTTTTCTTGTTTGACAGTAGTGGGTATCAAAGCCAAGGTCAATCACATTGGAGAAATGTTCAGAAACTGATTTTCAACAGTAGCTTTATTTCCATCTCACAAATATTTGTTCAATGTTTACTCACCACACCTCAATTTTCTCGTCAAAATTGTCAACACTAGGACTGCAACAATTAGTCTTCTTGTAACAATATAAACAGAGCAAAGAATCCTTCAACTTTGCATGCTTAATTCTGAGTGCTGGCATGTGAAGGATACTTGAAAACTACCATCTAATATCTATATGATATGTGTGTGTACACATACCTATGTACATACAGATATTTTATTTTATATTATGTGTATCTATGTACACACAATTAAATGTAGATACCCAAAGAGGTAAGAAGAGGGTGCTATATGCTGGAGTTACATGAAGTTGTGAGTAGACTGATATAGTTGGGAACTCATCTCTGGCCCTCAGAAAAGCCATCTCCCCAGGCCACATAATACATATTTTCTGAGAAATATAAGCTGGTGCGGGAGTATTGTCTATATTCTGTCAATCATGTTTTAAATGCTGACTGGTAGCCAGGCAGGAAGTAAAGGCAGGACAACCAGACAGGAAGCAGAGGTGGAGCAATGAGAACAGGAGAATGCCAGAAGAAGGAAGCTCTCCCCAGTCCTGCCCAGATCATGGAAGAAGCAAGATGTGAGCTGCCCCGCTGGAAAGATATCAAACCATGTGGCTAACACAGATAAGAACAATGGGTTAATTTAAGTTATAACAGCTAAAACAAAGCTTGAGCTAATGGGCCAATCAGTTTATAATCTTATGGAGACCTCTGTGTGATTTTCTTTGGGGGTGAATGGCTGCGGGAACTGGGCAGGACAGAAACCCCGACAAACAGGCCCTCATGTTACAATAAGCTTTATTTTTTTACAAGATAAGTTATTTTTTATTATTGATTCTTATTGAGCTCTACATTTTTCTCTGCTCCCATCCCTGACTCTCCCCTCCCCTTCAACCTTCTCCCCAGGTTCCAGTGCTCCCAATTTACACAGGAGATCTTGTCTTTTTTTTACTTTCTACTTCCCATGTAGATTAGATCTATATATGTCTCTCTTAGGGTCCTCATTGTTGTCTAGGTTCTCTGGGATTGTGATTTGTGGGCTGATTTTCTTTGCTTTATGTTTAAAAACCACTTATGAGTGAGTACACGTGATAATTGTCTTTCTGTGTCAGGGTTACCTCACTCAAAAATGTTTTCTAGCTCCATCCATTTGCCTGCAAAATTCAAGATGGCATTATTTTTTTCTGCTGTGTAGTACTCCATTGTTTAAATGTATCACACTTTCCTTATCCATTCTTCAGTCAAGGGACATTTAGGTTGTTTCCAGGTTCTGGCTATGACAAACAATGCTGCTATAAACATAGTTGAACACATGTCCTTGTGGCATGATTGATATACACCCAAAAGTGGCATTACTGGGTCTTGAAGAAGGTTGTTTCCTAATTTTCTGAGAAATTGACACACTAACATCCAAAGAGGATGTACCAGCTTGCATTCCCACCAGCACAACCTCTCCAGCATCAGTGTTTTTTATCTTGGCCAGAAAAAACATAAACTTTATTGGAAACAATGGTGCTAGTTCTATGTTCAATATGCTATTTCTTGTATTTCTAGAAGGCTATGTCTATTACAAGCCTTATACTGAGAAAACTTGAACATACTTGTCATTAATAGACATTTAAGAAGCAAGAGATTATAAATAATTGACATAAAACATAATGGACTAACCAGTATGTTTATATAATTTATAGATTTGTCTTGTGAATACATTACCAACCTTAGACTTATATCACCTCAATGCAAATAGCTTCTTTATACATTTTCTGTTGTTGCTCTTTCAGAGAGTGTCTCATTGGTCTTCAATAGAGGGCTCAAGCTATTCTCCTGCTTCAGCATTCTATGGAGTGCAAGAACCACAAGCAAAACCAGGTGTAAGTTACTTGCCTGCCGCGACTGCCTCGACCAGCAAGGAAGACGCAACACCGGAGCTCTTCTTGCAAGCAATTTACTCAGGACCTTGTTACAATAGTTTCTCTCTCCGGGCAAGCTCCTCCCAGCCCTTAAGTAGCCCTGGGCAGCCAATCCTGGATCGCCACGTGGGCACTGTCCATAGGACCACTTATACGCAAGCAGCTTACGATCATCACGAGATCCTGACCTTAGCCAAATAAGGTGTTGTTTACCACTGAGAGCGCTGGCTTTTGGGATCGCGGAAGGCGGAAGCTGGCGCCATCTTTTAGGTGCGGCTCCACGCAGCTCTCTACAGTTCCCCCTTTTTTGTTTTAAAAGCAACAGGCAAAAGTAGAAGTCTGATCTCTGTTGAAAATGAAGCATGTACTATTGTTTATCCAGGTGGCCTCCACCCAGAAAACACTAGAACCGCTTGGTGCCCTTTTTACAGAGGTGGGAGTTAGGCACCAACCCATGTGCAATCAGACTTGCTCTTCTTGAGGTAGATGTAATTACCCTCAAGTGCAGTGCACAAGCCTCGCACCCTGTGCTTCTATATCTTTTAAAGTAGTTAACCAAGCTTGGGGGGACTGTCCTGCTTCAGTAGCCGTGAAGGCTTGAATGATCATTGCTGCATTGTGACGTTGTGAGGCTCTCATGCAACAAATGCACTACAGACATACCAGGGAGGAAAGCACCATTAGGCCTGTCAGGGCTCCTATTCCCGCCCACTCCTTAAAATAACTAGAAGTTCGTTTCAGCATATTAAGAAAAGCATTAGCAGTAGGTAATTCCAGCCATGTGGCATTCAGGGAAATAATCTGGTTGATCAAGGTGTCCGTCAGGTTCTCGAACTCCTTGCTCCAGTTTCCCTGGAGGTATGCGCTCAGCTGCCAGCTCAGGTTACCGTTCTTTGTAAAATTCTCAGCCAATCTAGAAGTAATGCATAAAGAGGAGAGGGAATGAATACATACTACACTGGTTAAGGTTACTAAATCATCCACTTGCTCTTGCAAGAGGTCTACTCTTTGGTGTACTGTCAAAATGCCAGCTTTTAAATGACCATCGATAGATTTCAAAGTGGTCATGGTGTAGGCTGTCCTCTCCATGATTTCATTAACTGTCTCTGCAATCTGAGTTGTTGCAGCCATGGCAACAGCAGCTGTCATGGCAGCTGCAGCAGATACAGCAATTGCGGAGACTAGGGCTGCTGTTATCCCAAAGTCTCGTTTTGTTCTGAGCAAATGAGCGATTGGGAAGGTACCGGTATCAACTCTGACTGGGATGGGAACATATGTGGGAACTCTCATCACCACAGCTGTGTTATAAGTACCATTCCAGCATTGACTTATGAGGCAAGTTGCCTTAGAGGAATTACAATAGATCACATCCTCTGTGGCATTGGCAATATTAGTCAGCAAAAAGAAGGAAGGTACCTTTAAACACTGGACTGGCAGAAACGGTAAGGTTGTTCATCATTTTATTTATAGTAACATTTGAAAGAACTCCCTTCATATCTCGGCTGGCAGAGATGTTAAGTAGCCAGTCAAATTACGAAGGGCAGCAAAAGGCTCTAGGAATGAAAAGGCCCCTCTTTCATTAGAAAGAATCCATTGAAACCAGGGCCAAGTATTTTTCGTATTAGTTTTCGGATTAGTCCGATTAGCAAGATTAAAGGAATATCTTCCTAAAGGAGGGGTAAATTCAAAACCTGGTGCAATCTGCTTTGACTTATGATCTGGGCTTTGACAAGGTGTCCAATGAGGGGGGTACCCTAAATTAGGGACACAATAAGGTAATACTTGTCAGGTGGTGGAATTCCCTAATCCAATGCGTGAACTTGAAGTCCAAAGCCCTTCCCATCAACATCAATAAGGTAGTAATACTTGTGGCATTACTACCATTTTTACCACTGCCCGTGCCTGAGAGAGCACCCGTATTTATTGTTTTCAGTGCTTCTGCAAGCATGGCGAAAGGCACATGATTATCGGTCAATGGGTCAAGCCAATTACCCACCGAGCTATTTTTCAACCATATACATGGGTTAGAATTATTTTCAAGAGAAATGTTCCTTGAAGAGGAACATCAGTTGCATTATACATAACCATGCTAGGGTCTAAATTTACGCAGGGTAAGCCTAATTCACAACTAGTGGGAAAAAAAGACAGGTAAAACTTTTGACGCAGAATGAACAGGTATAGGAATTGGCCATGCTTTTGCTATGGCCCACAAGATTTGTTCATTGGCCTGGATCACCAACGTGGACATCAGGACCGTCACCATCAGTAGGATCACAGTCTGAGGCTTCATCTTGTTTGTTGTTCCTCTGCACTTGTACTTTTCTCACCAAGCGCTCTGGTACCCAAATAGGGTCCAAATGATCCTGTGGAAAAACACAAACAGAGCCTCGTGCCCATGCCAGCACGGGATCAAGGCCATGCCAGATCCCTGTCAGAGCATCCTTCCATTTTATCAATCCTTTTAAAGGACTGGATGGGCAAGAATGCCTGTCTGCTGCAGACTGATTGGTATTGTCCAAATTTAAAAAATTAAGTGTAAACAAGGCTAAGGAAAGTCTATTCTTGGGGGTCTGTTGATGACCTATTCCCCCTTTTTGTTTTTGAAGCAATTCCTTTAAGGAGCGATGAGCACACTCCACAATGCCTTGGCCTTGTGGATTATAAGGCAGTCATGTATGAGTTGAACACCCATGCGTTGGCAGGAGGTGAACTTTTGTCCCGTATAAGCGGGACCATTGTCTGTTTTCAGTTGCTGGGGTTTTCCCCAGGCAGCCCACGCTTCTAGACAATGAGCAATCACTTGGGTTGCCTTTTCACCAGTCATGGGTGTGGCATGGATAATGCCGGAGCACGTATCCACGGAGACATGTAGGTATTTTACCTTGCCAAACTCAGAGAGATGGATAACATCCATCTGCCAAAGTTTAAGGGGGAGCAATCCACGCAGATTGACCCCCAAAGTTTGAAGGTGATGATGTATGACACATTGTGGACAATCCACAACCACCTTGCGTGCATCAGCACAGGAAATGGCAAATTTTTGTTGTAGGGTTTTGGCGTTAACATGAAACTCTTTATGAAAATCATGAGCCCTCTGCAGGGCAGAGGCAAGAAACATCCATTCTTGTCTGGTACACTGATCAACCTTGTCATTGCCGGCAGCCAGAGGGCCTGGCAAACCTGTATGTGCACGAATGTGCTGTACAAAGAAAGGATTCTTACGTTGCCAGAGTAATAGCTGTAATTGTGTAAATAGCCTATGTACCAGGCTGGAGGATTTAATAGGTCCAGCGCACTCAAGGTATTTTAAGGCGTTAACAACATAACAAGAATCCAAAATTAAAATTAAATGTAAATGGACAGGATTTAAACACCTCAACCACGATTGCTAGCTCCACTTGCTGAGGAGCTCCAGGAGAAAACTGATATTTAACAGGTTCTGCTGAGTCCACCATGTAAGCACCATAGCCAGTCTTAGATTCATCTGTAAATATAACACTGGCTCCTGGAATGGGCCGTAAGGCAGTGATTTTTGGAAAGACTACCGGATATTCTTTAAAAAAGGTTAACAGTGGATGTTTAGGAAAATGACAATTGATGTGCCCAGAATAGGAGCACCATAAAATAGCCCAATCATCAATAATGGCACATAAAATATTAACTTGATTAGTATCATATGGGGTGACTATTACACATGGTGCAACTCCAAAATGTTGCAAGCAATTTTGAATGCCTTGCTGAGCAAGCAAAGCGACAACAATAGGACAATATTCTATGGATTTCGCGAGGGAAATCCTGGGATGAATCCAAAGTAACGGTCCTTCCTGCCACAGAATACCTGTGGGTTGTAGATTAGTGGTTAAAAATGCATAAAGCAATATCCTTTTCAGCCTGCACCCATTTTAAAAAGGCTTTAGATAATTTTTCCTCTACAAGAGAGAGTGCTTGTCGAGCTTCACTGGTTAATTGTCTGGGAGAATCTAGAGCTACATCACCAACTAAAACATCATACAACGGCTTTAACTCATAATTTGCCATGCCCAAACTTCCCCTGATCCAATTTATATATCCCAATAATTTTTGAAAATCATTTAATGTATGCAAATGATTTTTTCTTAATTCTACCTTTTGTGGTATAATTTGATTATATGTTATTTTAGACCCTAAATAATTTACTACCTCGTCTTGTTGAACCTTTTCTGGAGCTATACATAGACTCTTCCTTTGTAATACCCCCACCTAAACACTGTATGCCTCATGCAAAGTTTGCTCTTTTTTCGCTGCCAGGAGAATATCATCCATATAATGGAGACATTTCACAGTTGGAAAACGAGCCTGTAAGGGCTCCAAAGCAGCAGCTACAAATAATCGACACATACTAGGACTATTGGCCATACCCTGAGGTAGGACAATCCATTGATATCTTTTCTCAGGTTCCTCATGGTTGACTGATGGTAAGGTAAAGACAAATCTTTCATTGTCCTTGCTATTTAAAGGGATGGAAAAGAAACAATCTTTTATGTCTACTAATATAATGGGCCAACACTCTGGTAATGCAGATAGCAAGGGGAGGCCACGTTGAACAGGCCCCATAATTTTCATCTGTGCATTTATAGCACGAAGATCACGTAATAATCTCCATTTTCCAGACTTCTTTATAACAAAAATAGGAGTATTCCAAGGGGAGAGGGAGAGTTCTATATGCCCTTCCTCTAGCTGTTCTTGCACTAACTGATGGGCTGCTTGTAGTTTTTCGGAAGATAGTGGCCACTGAGGAACCCACACTGGCTCTTCTGTTTTCCAGGAAATGGGAATTCCTTCCTCAGCGGCCCCTAAGAAAAACCCAACCTTTGTCTGGGTTTTCTTGGTTTTGCCTCTATAGGATCCTTCTGCCTCTGCAAGAATTTTCCCAGGCCAAACTCAGGATGGCAGTCCATGCTTTTCATAATAGCTTGAGCCTTATCAGAATATTCATTACTTAACTTAAACCCCATAGATTTCATAATATCTCTTCCCCATAATGATACTGGGAGCTCTAGGACATATGGCTGTATTTGTCCGGAGTGTCCTTCTTCATCTTGCCAAGTTAACAAGCTTGCACTAACATCAGAGGCTTTTGTATACCCCAGTCCTTGTAAGGTATGCGAGAGGCCTGGACGAGCCACCCGCGTGGCCAATCCTTGCTAGCTTTAATACTTTTGTCCGCTCCAGTGTCCAGGAGCCCTGTAATCTTGGTGCCATTAATAGTCAATTGTAAGGTAGGCCTCTGATCTAAACTCAAAGACAGGAAGGTAAGATCCGTTCCTGAGGAGCCAAATCCTTGACTACCTCTCTCTCTGTTCCTATTGTGCTGGAAACCTATCATGCAAGCTGGGCAGGATAACAAGCTGTGCAATTCGATCCCCTGGAGATATGGCACTAATACCCTTGGGTGACTCCACCATAATTTTAACAATGCCTGTATAGTCTGGATCAATTATTCCGGGATAAACCTGTAGGCCTCTCAAAGTAGTAGATGACCTGCCTATCAATAACCCTACTGTGCCTGGTTGGAGAGGGCCTTGAAAGTCAGAGTCTATCGTTTGAATTCCCATTCGAGGGGTTAATATGAGCCTGGTGGTAGCATGGAGGTCCAATCCTGCTGAACCCGCAGTGGCTCTCCCCAGTTCTGTGGGTGTGTGAATGTCGGCCATTGCTCCAATTTCCCTTCCTGTACCTGCTCCTCCATTGCCCCATGTATTTGAGGACCCTGAGGCCAAGGGCCCCGCTGTCTATTTTTTGACCTAGTATTAGGTTCGAGGGGTCATCCGTTGATATCCTTGACGGATCTGCACTCATTGGCCCAATGCTTTCCTTTCTTGCGTGTGGGGCATATGCCTGGATTTTGATTCTGGTTAATTCCTGTTCCCTGGGTAATTCCCTGCCGAGCATTTCCTCCTTGAGGGCAGTTGTGCTTAATGTGGCCTGGCTTACCACATCGAAAGCAAGTTCCTGCATTGCCCCCATTTTTGCTCAACCTAAGTACTGCAGCTGCCAGTCCGGCATTGGCTAATGGACCTCCTAATTCTCTACATGCTCTCATCCAGACTTCTAATCCTCTATTTTTATTTGGGGTGATAGCCGCTCTGCACTCCTGGGTACATTGTTCATACACTAGCAGCTTGACAAACGGCATAGTGATGTCCAGGTCACCAAAGATCTTTCCTGTTGCTTCTACCATCCTAGCCACATAATCAGAAAAAGGCTCCATAGGTCCTTGAAGGATCTTAGTCAAATTACCAATTACCTCCCCTTTATTAGGTAAGGTCTTCCATGCTCTTGTGGTAATGTTAATCTGATCATACACTTGAGGAGGATATCCATTTTGCTGGATGGCAAACCTGCCTTGTTCAAGCAACATGTCTGTGTCCCAGACTGTTGTGCCCCTCCAGCTGCTAGATTTATTGCAGCCTGAGCATTGGCCAATTCAATTAAAAGAGCTTTCCAATCTAGATACTGACCAGGGGACAAACATGCTCGTGCTAGGTTCATCCAATCAGTTGGAGTCATGGCATATCTATGTAGAGCTTCCACTTGTGCCACCGTAAAGGCGGCTGTAGTGCCATAAGTCTGGACAGATTCTGCCAATGTCTTGATGACCTTAAAATCTAAAGGCTCATGGAATCAATTGCCTTACGGATCCTGAAATACAGGAAATGCTGAGGCCGTCATCATTTCTGCCCTGACTTCTCTCCATACCTTAGGATTGAAAGAAATCCCTCCCTCTGCTCCTATAACCTCCAGATACGGGGGCGGAGCTGAAGGGGTTACAGTCCTGCGCATGCCTTTAGATGTCTTATTTTTCTCTCTGTTTCCCTTTTTCTTGGAGATTTTCATTCTTTTTAATGTTTTCCTTAGGGTTTCTCTATCTTCTTCATCCGTTTCTGTCTCTGGTGTCTCTGGGTCTGGCCCTGTCTCTGTGCTCAAGGAGACAGAATTCTGACAGGCTAGGATATAATCGACCCTTTTGTTTTTCCTGGGCCCTTTTCTTCTTCCCTCTACCTGAATCTGTATCAGATGCCACATCAGACTTTGCCTTTTAAGAGGCTGCCGTTTCTGAAGCTGCCCTCTCTGAACATCCCTCCTGTAATATCTCTAAGGCTGCTTGGCCATTTTCTACTGCTTCACTGCACTTTTGATCCTCGAGGCAGCTTTTCACTAATTTCCAGATAGGTCTTACTCCAGCCTTAAGCGTTCCCTGTTCTGCAGCAAACTCAAGGTCTCTACCTAGCTTTTCCCATGACGGAGTCATGAGCTTCCTGGAGACTGCAAACCAAGGTGCAGTGGTATCACATTCCTCCAGGAACCTCCCTAAGGTGCTTTTCTTAAGTTTTAGATTTTTTGAACGAAGCAGCTCGTTCAAAGCCAGAAAAATTGGGTGAGAAGGAGAATTCCCCATATCTATTCACTGAGGATTCTCAATACACTCCCTACAGCAATAAGTAAAAATGATGAACCAGAACACTGTATTCAAGAGTACCCAAGCTGCTAAGAGCAAGTAGTAATCCATCAACAGTATCCAGCAATTTTACTATCAGTTCATGGGGCTAGCGAACCGAATGTGCTCTACAGACTTGTAGCCCGTCCACTGTAGTAGGCTTTACTTTCACTTTCGATTTGTCCGCTCTAGTCGCAGCTCTACTTTCACTTTCGATTTCCCCCATTCTCTCTGTTTACAGGCAAGAGCAAATAACCCGTTTTGGTCATGGATCCCCAATCTTACCTTGAGGACTTACCGGTGCACCCCCTGACTGCTACAAGTTCTGGGCTCCAGGGAAAGGAGAGGAGAATCTCCGTATGGGCCACCACTTGTCGCAACCGCCTCGACCAGTACGCAACACCGGAGCTCTTCTTGCAAGCAATTTACTCAGGACCTTGTTACAATAGTTTCTCTCTCCGGGCAACCCCTTAAGTAGCCCTGGGCAGCCAATCCTGGATCGCCATGTGGGCACTGTCCATAGGTCCACTTATGCGCAAGTAGTTTACGATCATCGCGTGATCCTGGCCTTAGCCAAATAAGGTGTTGTTTACCACTGAGAGCGCTGGCTTTTGGGATCGCGGAAGGCGGAAGCTGGCGCCATCTTTTAGGTGCGGCTCCATGAAGCTCTCTATACTTGCCAACCATATTTTCAATAGTAAAATGATGATGATGAAAAACCAAGATGTCTTGTATGAGAATAGACCAATGATTAAAAATAATACACCTATAATGTTATTAGATTGACTCGTTTTATTCCAAGCACATTTAATAGCTTCAACTGTGGAGGTCCAAAAATGTGAATCTATTTCTACCTCATCTGATAGTCAGAGTTCGGAGGTTGCTAAAAATTGTTGACAATAACCAGGGCTACACATACTGACTCAGGATGTGGTTACTTGGTACTTTTGACACTAAGATAGTCCATACAGGTATATCCACTCCACTCTAACAGATGGTCAGGATATGCAAGCATATTTGCCTTCAGGATACTTGGTCTTGGTCAAGGGTGGCTTCACTGCCTAAACAACAGAATGCTTTGATGTCTCAGTGTTAAAGAAGTCTTTTGTTGCTTTCTTCCCCCTTTCGTGTTGGTGTATAAAAGGGCATGGAAAATTAAACATAGGTGATTTCAGTATTCACTAGAACTCCCTTCTGATACTATCCTTTGTTTTCTGTTTTATTACTTTTATTCGCATCTTCATATTCCTTACTCACTTTTCTGATCCCCATGTCCCTACCCTGGCAAGTGGTATTTTTGTCGAGGTTGGCCCCCGACATTCAACTTCTGGCACTTTCTCCTTAAATGCAGCAATATTATATTTAAAAACACTTTGCCTGGGTCTGGAGAGATGGCTCAGCAGCTAAAAGTCCTGGCTGCTCTTACAGAGGACTGGGGTAAGGATTCCCTGCACCCAAGACAGCTCACAACCATCTGCAACTTCAGTTCCAACATGTTCTTCAGAACTTCACTGGCACTGCACAAACATGGTGCAGGCAATAAACCCATACACAAAAATTAATACTTTGTTCATTCAGGTTCAGAATGTTCAATTGATAAATAAAATGGATCCCAGGATAGGGCACTGAGTAATTTGTCCCAAATGGCACTAAACTACACACTGGGCTGGGCTTAGGGAAGTCTAAGCACAACAGATGTTTACTGACACATGGGTGGGCTAAGACTTTTCACACAAGAAATTTATTATGGCTTACCTTTTCCAAATGTTTATTACTAATGCCATGTAATAAGAAAAAAACTCTACAAAAATTATATAAAGACACAGGCAATATCATGAGTTAGACTTTTTAATAGGTTTTCTGATTAATTGCTTTGGTATACATATATTCTCTGTGTTATGAGACACACTGACATAAGTTTGGCAAAACAGAACATACTTATGTAAATTATCAAGTTTTTTTAAAAAAGCACTCAGAACTTACTGTATCTCTTTCATATGGTTTATTTTAAGAAATATTCAACACAAATTAATCTTCGATATCTTCATATTACTTTCATAGGACTCAACCATATGAAAATTTTTTCATAAATTTTATCTTATTGGTAAAAACACAGCTTTCTTATATTTACAATTTCATTTAGTTGTAATTGGTTCTTAAACCTCTCAAGCTGTGTTCAAACCCAGTAAATAGTATAGGCTTCATTTAATACTGTAATTGTCTAACCTCTACTTTCTCATTGCTCAAATGAAAGGCACAGACCAGCATGCCTGGTGTACAGGGTCTCATCTCACAGAAACCTGTCAACAAAGACCAAAATTATACTTCTACAGCTCTTATAGTCTAGTATCTCTCCACTTTCTTTTTTTATACATCAAAATAAAAGTTCATGTCAGACAGTCCCATGATTTACATTAGTGGAAATATTATCCACTAAGTTTTTCACTGTGAGTTCTTTCATGTCTGAGAAGGTACGTGGAACAGGTAAATGCTTTCCCACACTGCTTACATATATACGGTTTTTCTCCAGTGTGATTTTTTTCATGTATTAGAAGGGATTTAGAAAAAGTGAATGTTTTCCCACATTGAACACACATGTATGGTTTCTCTCCAGTGTGAGTTCGTTCGTGACTATAACAATCATCACGTTGGATGAAGGCTTTCCCACATTGTTTACATACATACGGTTTTTCTCCAGTGTGAATTCGTTCATGTCTTCTCAAAGAAGTTCCCTGAGTGAAAGATTTCCCACACTGCTTACATACATAGGGTTTTTCTCCACTGTGAGATCTTTCATGTATGTGTAGGGATCTGGGGAAACTGAATAGTTTCCCACACTGCACACACATATATGGTTTCTCTCCAGTGTGGATTCTTTCATGCTTGTGACATCCAGTGGCATAAGCAAAGGCTTTTCCACAATGCTTACATACATAGGGTTTTTCCCCACTGTGAGATCTTTCATGAATGTGAAGGTATGCAGAGCATTTAAAAGCTTTTCCACATTGCTTACAAACACAGGGCTTCTCTCCAGTGTGAATTCTTTCATGATAATAACAAGCACTGGAGTAGGTGAAAGCCTTTCCGCAATGTTTACACACAAAAGGTCTCTCTCCAGTATGAATTCTTTCGTGGATGAGAAGTTGGCAGGAACGAAGAAATGCTTTCCCACACTGTTTACAAGCATAGGGTTTCACTCCAGTGTGAGTTCTTTCATGATTGTAACAGGTTCTACGATCAATGAATGCTTTTCCACAATGTGTACAAACATAAGGTTTCTCACCAGTGTGGATTCTTTCATGTTTGTGAAGTTGTGAGGGACGACTAAATGCTTTTCCACATTGCTTACACGTGTGACGTTTCTCTTGAATGTGACTTTTTTCATGCCAGAGAAGGCTACAGGAATCACTCCATGCTTTCCCACACTGTTTACAAACATAGGATTTCTCTTCGGTGCAATTTCCTTCATAATCGTGATCAGAAGTGAAACTCCTACAGGCTTCATTAGATTGTTTGCTTTCATAGGGTTTCTGTCTCATAGGAGGACTTTTATGCATCCGAAGTAACTCAGTATAAGTGAAATCCTTCCAACATTTCTTAAATTTAAAAGCCTTCTCCATATGCTCCTGATACTGGTATGGTTTCTCTACAGTTTGACTTTTGGCATATGTACCGGAGGGTAAATGAGCATTGAAGTCTCTTTCACAGTCAGTTATTGCAGGAGGCATTTTCTCATTTACAACACGCTCTGGGCTCTGTCTGTGGGTTTCTCCATTCTGACTACCGTGATCATATTTACTGAGTCTCTCAACCACCAGGGTTCTGAAAAAAATAAAGAGCAATATTAATTTTACGAAGAGGTCATGGCAGGAGAAAAGCCTGCTTGAGGCCCAACTGAACCACACAAAAAGAACCTTTCCCAAAGAAAGAAATAAGAGTATTGGCTCAACTTCCTAAGAATGTCAAACTTTGGGGAGGTGGTATGAGAGGTTCTTCTGTCTGTGTTGTTCTTATTGGTTAATGAATAAAGAAACTGTCTTGGCCTGTGATAGGACAAAAGAACAGAGCTAGGTGGGGAAAACTAAAGTGAATGCTGGGAGAAAGGAGGCAGGGTCAGAAAGATGCCACATAGCTCCACCAGAGACAGATGCCAGAACTTTAGCCAATAAGCCACAGCCATGTGGTGATACACAGATTAATAGAAATGGGTTAAATTAAGATATATAAGAGTTAGCCAATAAGAAGTAAGAGCTAATGGGCCAAGCAGTGATTAATTAATATGGTTTCTGTGTGATTATTTTGGGTTTAAGCTAGCCAGTTGACCGGGAACCAATAAATGGCCTCCTCCTACCACAGAGAGATGAGATGGCTCAGTAGGTAAAGGCATCTGCTGGCAAGTCTGAAGACCTGAGTTTGAACCCTGAGATCTGCAAAGTGGTAAGGAGCCCATTCCCGAGGGTTATCCTATAACCTCCACAACTGTACCACTTCAAGCATGCAAGCACCAATGCACACAGACACAAGTAAATACACATTAAAAAAAAAAGAAAATCATTATGAATATTAAAGGGTTAAACATTTAACTAGAGGTCCTGAGGATGGCATACAATCAAAGAATGTTCTGTAGTCTTTCAGGTATTATACACACATTAATCGTATATGGCACTAAGCCAGTTAGCAGTTGAACATTCATAAGGCAAAATGGTTTTTATTATGGCATTTGAAGTAAATAATGGTTCACATGATTTAATAAAAATGGGTCTCAATCTTAAACCCGAAATTCACTTTACCTCATACACCCCTTATAAAGCCTAAGTATTACTTGATATTCTGAAATTCTGTGCATAAAGAAAAGTTGTATAACAAATCACAGGAAAGTGCCATATAACTCTATGCATCTCTCACTATTCTAAGTGCTCAAGCTCACTGTATTCACAGAAGTCCTTAGATTTTCTATCACCACCAGATACTTGATGCATATCTTTCTGTAATGGTAAGTTACCTCAGGTTTCCCTTATACTTCTGGTACTCCTCTTCAATATCTTCTTCTTCTGTTTTCCCTAAAAGTACACCCAAAAAAATTATGCAAAGATTTATTCAAAATTACACTTTTCTGTTATAATATGACCAAGCATGTGACACTAGACAACATTGTTCTTTCACTTTTTAAAATCATGCAACTACACAGATGAACAAGAAACAACTGTGATGATCAAAGTAAAGGAATCTGAGTGGTTTTGTTTTTACCTATGGAGAGCAGGTTCATAAAGGTTTCCTTCATCACATCTCTGTAGAGCTTCTTTTGACTAGAATCCAACATAGTCCACTCTCCTAGAGTGAAGTTCACAGCCACATCCTCAAAGGTCACTGGCTCCTACAATAATCCACATACATTTACAGGAAGAATAGTGGGAAAACACAGGTGATACATAGTCACATGACTAGTTACTTCATGCTTTATTCCTCAAAAGTCTCTGTGTATCTGGCTGCCCCCTTTCATTCCTACCTTCTAACCTTTTACTTTTTCCATTCTACTTTCAGGTGTGTTTTCTATGCGCAGAGTACAATATATACTACTTACCCTTCTTCACTCTGGCTTAGTTATAATGATGGTGCTAGAGTTCAAAACATTTTACCGAAAATGACAAGATTCATTTCATTTAAGATGTATTTATGTGTATGTTTACGGGTTAGGATGCCGTGCGTCTGCAGATGGCATTAGGACACACACCCCTCCCCCAAAACTAGAATTTATGAGCTATGGGGCACATATGCTAGAAATCAAATCGTCTTCTAGAAGAATGGTTAGCTCTCGTAGCCATTGGGCCATCTCCCCAGTCCCTAGTACCATACCATTCACCATAGTGTTTACATGTGTGCATGTGTACACAGACATATACATAAATCACACACTAACATACACAATTTAATAAACATACCGATCAAAATTTATCAGCTTATTCACTGATATTTTGTAATGATAATTTTGTTTGTAGTCTAACAAATAAAGCTTGCCTGAAGATCAGAGTGCAGAGCTAAGCCATTAGTTAGCCATAGAGGTCAGGCAGTGGTGGTACACACCTTTAATCCCAGCACTCGCTGATTCTCAATGTTCTAGGATTTGCACAATGATTAAAGATCTTAAATAGACTGTCATGTCATGTCTTTGCTGGTCACTTGAACTTCAAAAGTATGATTATTTAATTTGCCTGTTTATAGATTTCAACTTTATGCTTCCTCTGCTGAGTTCTTTATATACTCTAGGTATTATTCCCTCTCAGATGTCACCTAGTAGAATAGTTCCCATTCTACAAATTGTCCCTTCATTCATTTCCATTGCCAGGCAGAAGTTTTTTCCATTTGATGAAATCCAATTAGTGATTTTACACTTCTGAGTCCTATTCTGACAACCACCCTGTGCCTTCATTTGCTGTATTTGCTCTCATCCCTTCAGAGTCCAGATGACACACTGAGTTAATTATTGCATGAGTGAAGGTACGGGTAAAGTCCACAATTCTTTTAATGAATAACCAGCTTTTCTACTTTTATAGCATTAAAAACCAAAATCTTATCTTAAATACTTTTTTTTCTGTACATCCTTTTTAGGGTAATTGCATTGCTAGGGCCATCTGCTCTGTGGTTCTATTTACTTGGAATTTCATTCTTTCTCTTTTACTCCTTGCAAGTTTCAGGAAATTAACATTTTTGTGAAAAAGAATATAAAATTTAACATCAATTAATTAAATAGAACATAACAGCTTATAAAATACAGTTGGATAAGTAGAATAAAGACTATGTGGAGCTTGCAATCATCAAAATATAATCAAATATCAATAGACAAACCAAAAAATTAGCATCACCACAACAACCATGATCCCTGAGACAGGATTATAAAACAAAACCTAATTTTTTCATAATAATTTCACATCATGAACACCAAAGCACCTTCACTTTCTGCTGCTCCCAGGGCTGCCCCACAACCCTTGGAACCCCTCCCCCCCAATAAAAAGTGGAAGAAAGTTTTTAAAAGAAAAAGAAAAATCCAATTTATGTTGCCCATATATTCACTGGAGTATGGTCGAACTCCCTGTGGCCAGCCTCTTAAAGAAAACTGAATCCTTCCACACGCCCACGCCCACCAGAAGCAATCAGTTCTAGAGAACTACACTTCAGCATCTTTATCACAAATTTTGTACTTTTTTTCTTTTTTTTTTTGGGTTGTTTGTTTTGTTTTTTGAGACAGGGTTTCTCTGTTTAATAGCTCTGACTGTCCTGGAACTTGCTTTTGTAGACTGGGCTGACCTTGAAGTCACAGAGATCTGCCTGCCTCTGCCTCCTGGGTGCTCCAATTAAAGGCGTGCGCCACCACCTAAGCCCCTTATAAATGGCTTTCTGTCTAGACTGTTATGGTTTTGGCGTGGGGTAGAGGTTGTCACAGAAGTCTTCTCTGTCCCTCTTTCTCAACTTCAAACTTAAATTTGGTGGGGGGGCGGTGGAAAGCTAAGGAGATGGTTTAACTCTTAACCTAAAATCCATGAGATGGGGGAAGAGATGAGACTAAAAATTAAAGGCTAAGTAAATCTATTCAATGAAATTATAGCAGAAAAATTCTCAATCAAGACAGACATTCAAACACAAAGGACACCTAAAACGCCAAACAGATATGAGAAAAGAACTTCAGAACACACAGGAAAAATGAAGAAATATTAAGAGCTATAAGAAGAAAATGATAGTTCAGGAAAGTACACACTGGGAGGATATGCTGAAGAAGTCAATAATATATGCATCTGCATAAACAAATGTCCATGTGGGTACAGTACAACACAGAAAACACAAGAAAAGCTAAATGTATGGGGACTGAATGCAGGAAACAGGAATGAAGACATAAAGCTAAGTGTTTTTCTAATCTGTTATGGACTTGTGGGGTTTGCTGGTAAATAAGTGCATAAAATATGCCCAATACTGAAAGTATAAAATTTAACGTAAAGTTCCACAGCTTCCATCCAAATGCCAATCCCAGCCATATATAAATAAGTTCATTGAGGTGCATGACTTTGGGTATGGTAATTTTGGTGTATGATGTTATTTATTTGAAAGATTGTTTTGATATTAAAGTTTTATTTTTTAAAAAAAAATTTATATCAAGCATAATAGTACGTACTTTTAATCCCAGTATTTGGGATTAAAGGTATGCCTGCCTGCCTGGTCTACATAGTGAGTTCCAGGGTAGCCAGAGCTACACACTAGTGTGTGTGTGTGGCGGGGGGAGCAGGGAAGAAGATTAAGAGCTAGTTTCAGGACAGGCTCCAAAGCTACAGAGAAACCTTATCTCGGGGAAAGAAAAAAAAAAAACAAAGGTCAATAGAGAAAGAACAATCAATAATTCAACCAAACAGAAAAATCAACCAATAAAAAATCCAGGAATTAGTAAACATCTCAGTAATGACCTTAAATATAAACTAGATCCAAGATCTGGAGAGGTGGTTCAAATAAAAGCATTTGCTTGCAAAGGTCTGGATTCAGCTCCCAGTACCCACACAGTAACTAACAACCATCTAAATGTCCAGTTTCTGAAGACCCAACACCATCTCTGGCTTCTGAGGGTACCAGACACACAAGTGGCATGCATACATACACACAGGCAAAACACTCATACACATTAAAAATAAACTTTTTAAAATTAGGAACTGAGTGTGTACTGCTATTACAGAAGGCCTAGTTCAGTTCTCAGTACACATGCCAAGCCACTGTCACTCCAGTTCCAGGAATTCTGACTCCTTAGGCACCCACCCACAAATGAAGACAAACACGTATAAACACATAATAAAAATAAAATAAACATTTAATAATAATAATAATATAAAGATCTGGGCTGGAGCCGGGAAGTGGTGGCACACTCCTTTAATCCCAGCACTCGGGAAGCAAAGGCAGGCAGATCTCTGTGAATTCGAGGTCAGTCTGGTCTACAAGAGCTAGTTCCAGGACTGGCTCCAAAAGGTACAGAGAAACCCTGTCTCAAAAACCCTCCCCCCACACACAAAAAAAGATCTGGGCTAGAGAGATGGCTCAGTGATTAAGAGCACTTTCTGCTCTTCCAGAGGATCCAGGTTCAATTCCCAGAACCCACATGGAAGAGTTAAAGACCTAAACTCCACAGAGGAACCAAGAAGCTCTGGACAGGAAAGTTGACTTCACTTGTTAGAATCCAAGAAGTGGCTTGGCCCTGACTGCACCTGGAGAAGTGAGTGGGTTCCCGACTGGAGGACCCCTGCTCTCTAGGCCCTAGCCCCCACAGGCACATCCCATGCCCCAGAGACCTGGGAGCAGCCTCCCCAACCCCCAGCCACACCCTCACCAAATCTGCAACCACGACTACCAGAGCCTTGGCCCCATGTGCACCTGAGGGAGCCCCCGTAACAGCGACCACGAGAGGCACAGCTATGCCTGTATCTGGAGAAAAGAGCGACCATATAACCCACAGGCCCCATCTGCACCAACTAGAGAAAGATATGAGTAGACGATAGTGTAAGAATATATTTAACAACATAAAGAATAATATGGCATCACCAAAAACTAGTGGTTCTACACCAGCAAGGTCTCAACATCCCAATGCAAATGAAGTAGAACCAGCAAACCACAAAGAAGAGAAACACACACAATACTGCCAACAATAACAAAAACTAACAATCATGGGTCATTAATATATCTTAATATCAATAATCTCTCAACTTGCCTATAAAGACACAGGCTAACAGAATGGATATAAAAATAAGATCCATCCTTCTATTGCATAAAAAAAACCCTCAACTTCAAAGACAAGCATTATCTCAAGAGTAAAGTGTTAGAAAAAGATTTTCCAATCAAAGTCAGGCATTGGTGGTGCATGCCTTTAATCCTAGCACTTGGGAGGCAGAGACAGGCAAATTTTTGTGAGTTTGAGGTCAGCCTGGTCTACAAGAGCTAGTTCCAGGACAGGCTCCAAAGCTAAAGAGAAATCCTACCTGGAAAAACCAAAAATGGACCTAAGAAACTACCTCATGTCCTGATCCTAATATCTAACAAAATAGATTTCAAACTATAATTAATCAAAATAAATAAGGACATTTCATATTCATCATCACAGAAAAAAATCCATCAAGATTAAGTCTCAATTCTGAACATCTATGCTCCAAATACAAGGCCACCCACATTTGTAAAAGAAACATTACTAAAGTTTAAGTCACACATCAAACTCCATACACTAATAGTGGGAGATTTCAAATTCCCACTCTCACCACTGGACGGGTCTGCCAGACAGAAACTTAACAGATAAAGGAGAACGGATGTTATGACTCAAATGGGTTTATCAGACATCTATAGAACATTTCACCCAAA